TTGGGCCTTCACATGAACATGATAAACATCAGGTCAGGGTGAGATGATGAAAAATCACATGCATAAAATCTCAAAAAAACCGGATCATTTAACAAATAACTAAAGGTGTTCTAGACAACTTAAGCATTTCTGAGTTCTTACATGTAATATTTTGATTTCCTTTTTAGCTGTCTTGTCCTAATCCCCTTGACATGTGCATGCACGCCCTAAAGGTAATGGGAATTTCTGCTCAGGTAAACTCTACTACATAGATATAAATGTTGCCCACGTGAACAAGGTGAATTAGAACACTATCACATTACCTGTCATATTTAAAGTGGAGTTGCGAGTATTTGCTGAAAGAAAGTTGACACCCATTCCCATGGCCCATGCTGAGTGAAACTGGACCGCTGACAAAAGTGGAAGAGTGTTACCCCAAGCAGTTGGGAACAGAATGGTGTCAACCAGAAATGTGCTTGCCAAGACCACAGCTGGTTCATGATAGAGTATGTCTGCACAAGTGAAAATGCCAAAGTAGCCAAAGGATGTATTGAAAGTCACAAATTCTGGATCCTTGGGGTAATTGAACTGTTTCTCTGTCACAAAAAGGTTGTACTGTTCATGGAAATGAAGGGACAGAGAAAAAAAAAGATTAGAAAAGAAATCAAACCATTTAAATCAGTCCAGTATTGACTATAATACTGATTCACTTAAATAAAAGTAATAGAGAACATGTTTTGTGAACACGCTGTATCTTAATTTCGAAAAGGAGAATTCATGCCACTGCAGGAGTCAAGCACAAATATCTGTGGTTTTGACTTACACTAGTGAAGGGGATTTGTATTTAGCTAGCAAGAATTTAGGACATTAATGTTCTAATATCTCATGTGTTACTTCCTCTTGAGAAGCAGTAAAAATAGAAGGCTTACTGAGTTTTAATTAATTGCATTTAATTACTTGCTATTAATGAAGATATCTTAAGGCAGTGGCTTTCACCTGACACCTGCTCTATAATGACTCTATGTACAAACATATTTAAGCCTGGGAAGAAGCTTCTGTTTCACATTTTTAATCACCCGAGGATCATGCCCTTCCTCAACATTGTAAAATCTTCTTACCTTGTGATAACGAGCCACCAGTTTTCCTTCTGAGTCAAAGACAACGTTGGTATTGAACTGATAGTGACCATCGCTTGGGCACCTTGGATCACTGGAATTACACAGCTTCTTGTCTCCCATATTAGCAACCACGTAGATGGAGTTATTCCTCGCCAGACAGCTCAGTCTTTCCAGCACTGGTGAGGGAGCAAACCTAAACAGGAGGCAAGGAAGAAAGGAAATAAACGTCAAAGCCAGTCAAGCCATAAAAAATGCCAACACTGATATTACAAATCACAAGAATGATACGTTTAAGTTAGTTATTTCTAATAGGAGACTGTCATTTTCTGTTATTCAACAGAAGGCAGTGGTCTTGTGCTTCAAAGCTTAGCGTGCTGAAACTTGGGCTTCACCTCACGTTAGATAAGTGAGAAACACAGGGGTTTCCTCACAGGGAAAGCAGATCTTCCCACCTTAGAGTCTCCCTTCTGCTGCTGGCACGTGGCATAGCATTGATGTTACAGAGATACATAGGCTAATCTCAGCTTTCTGCTCAGGTCTTCATTCAGCTGCTGTGCTGGGAGGTAGCTTAGGATTTGTTTCTTCTATGGTGCATTTCGCTATCTTTCACCAGCCTCAAAACACGCTGCAAATTGTTATGGAAAATAACAGAATAAAAAGGCTACCGCATCATGATTCAAAAATAGAAATTTGAAATTGTGCAGTATATCCTTTCAGTAGTAGCTGTTTGGTTTTTTTTTTCATAAATACTCCTAATATATATGGATCTTAAAAAAAAATTTCTACAACATGAATGCAATATATTACTGAAATGTAGATTCTGTAAGTTAGTGTTTTTCTTCGAAATATACCTCCACCTTTATGAGTATACTAACTAAAATCAAAAGAATTGCAGTGAGAAAAAATGACAGAGAAAAATGATGAGGGAAGTTGTCTGAAGCTATTTATGGCAACTGCATGATGTCTAACCAGCCTTCATTTCACAGTGGTTGTTCCAAGACATTTAAAACTACCAACAACCACTCCTAAAGGTAGCTGTCTTTCCCATTGGACCATTCCCCATGCACAGCAGGGACGATACCTTCCAGGATCAGCACAAGGAATCCAGTCCAGCTGTGGGTCTGGGATATCCTCAAGATAAGGGTATATTGTTTCCCTTGTGAAGACCCAGCCATAAATGCCATCTTCAGGAGTTACGATGATATGGGCACCCTTATACCAACATACAGAACCAAAAAACAGCATTAAGAAAATAAATGGTCAGTGTTTACCAAAAAGAATGTCTCTAACTCTGTGATAATACCTGTCTGGCTGCTTCTTCAATGGCCACTTCCAAAATTGCCATATTTTTGTCCATCAACATCAAGGCCTCCTCAGGAGAAACTGGCACTTCAGTGTCCTCTGACAAGACCACGTTGTGCTCGTAGATGGCTGCGATGTAGCTGTCCAGGGCACAGACCTCCAGAGCAGACAGGACCAAAAGCACAGCAGATGCACGGGCTTTAGGAAGCCCCATGTCTGGAGCCTGGAAGTCGCCCAAGAGGAAGACGGGGACAAGCAAAGACAGGGGGCTTTAAAAGGGAAAGTTTTGCATAAGACCTGGGAATTCCCCAGAGTGGCAGAAAGCCGACACCAGGAGATGCAATCACCCTGCCCAGAAAGTCTCACAACACCAAAGCCAAGAGAGCCGCCAGCATTGAGCAATTCTGCCTTACACCACCAGCAGAGAAGTCGCAGAGAAGTCACCGCTGTGCTGCAGCCAAGGAAACTCATCGCCTGCCAGATCTGCGAACGACTCAGACGCGGCATTGCTGCAGTAACGCAGCTCAAGGCAAGCCCTGGTCACAGCAGAAAAACAAGCCAGAGTTTGGGAAATCTCAGCAAAGACCAGCACGGACACATTCCTGGCCAGACTCGAGGACGTGGGTTGCCATGAGGGCTGCAGGAGGCAGGTGGCCCGTTCCCAGCTCGGTGCTGCCCCATGGAAACTGCCTGTGCCACCCCAGCGCAGGGCTGCTCCAATCTAGCCCAACGTAGTTTGGCTATACCTGGCACAGTCCCTGCATATCCCATTTCACAGATTGTACAACTATTAATAACAGCTGATGAGTATTTAGACCTGCCACTGCCTGAGGTAAGCACAAGACTAGCCTGGGGGTTGCTGAATTTCTCTCCACTGCTCTGCTTTAACCATGGTTCCAGGACCCCCCGGAAAATCATAGCAGGAGAACATCCTTGTGAGTTGACTGGAACAAGAAACCTGGAAACCAGGATTCCTTTTCAGGTTTCTTTTGCCTCCATTGCACACATGAAAGAATGAAAAGAGGAGAAGGTGTGTTTCCAGAAAACCAGAGGTGTTAGTGGAGCCTGTCTAGTTTCTACTCCAGGTCTGATGAAGTTCACACATTGCAGGACAGCTCATTAATTTCAGTGACATTTGTGTTCCTTCTGGTAGTCCTGGCCTAACAGCACAAGTCAGGCAAGTGAACAAGTCATTCCACAAAGAGAGCTAATTAAGTCTCATGTCTACAGATCTGCATCTTGTGCACCTTGTGTCTGCCTCTAGGTATCTCAGCTCCTTCTCACTTGCCTCACCATTGGCACTGGCAGGGTCAGAACTTCATAATAGGTTGAGGTGTACATTCCCAGTTTCGATGAAGTCTAACGCCTGATACTAAAGGAAAGGGAGCTATTGCCAGGATATTCCCAGGGGAAACCCGCCCTTTGGTACCCTGATGCTTCACGGTTCAGCCAGCTACCAAAGCAGTTCTTCTTGCTAGTGCCCCAAAAACGACTCTGGCAAAGAAAGAAGTATTTCTCACGTAAATTCCAGTAGCTACTCACAAGAGAAACTAGGACTAGACTATTTTTCTCATATATGGAAAAATGGGTACCACAGAGGACCCCTTCTAGGACCCAGTTCTGTGGCCAGAGTCCTTTATTTGTCCTGGAGCCCAACCAATGTCAAATCCAGCGTGAGTTTGCCAGGCATGCCCTTGCCTCAGTTCCCCTCGCCTCTTCCCCTTTTTGTCAAGCATCTAGTGGAGGTGAGATTTCCCACCCTCCTCTCCCCCACTGCTGGAAAATAGTAGCCCGAGGCTCTTGATAGATCTACTGTTGCAGAGCCAATTAGTAAAAACATGCCAGCTGGCATGTATTAGTAAAATAGATCTCACACGCACTAAGCAGGGTCTTCACATACAATGCAAACATACATATGTCTGCGCCTGTATGTATACACACACAATACCACGTCTCCTCCAGGACTGAAGATCTGTTAGTTCTATGTGGAGATGCTAAGTCTTCTCTTCATTACCTTTGCCTCCCATTTTCAGGCACTTTCAAGATAATACAAGTGCTGCTAGACACAAAGTCTTTTAGACTCTTATCGTCTAAGGAAATTCACAAAACTTAGGAAAAAAAAGTTGCTTTATTGAAAACAGTATTGTGCTTAATGCTTTGTCATTTCAAATTATTTCAACATTTTATATTATCAGTTAAAGTATTACAAGATAATGAACTTTCTTTAAAAAAATACAGAAAATCACGGTAGCAAAATAGTAGCTTTACCCAAGAATAATGCACAGCAGGCTCAAGTATAGAAACCAGACATTTGAAAACACATCTCTTCGCATACAGTGGTGCACTGTATATATAACACAATAAAACAGGCTGACATCTGAGGGTTACTCATCACTTCAGCCAATCCACACGAGGACTTTCAAAAGAAAGGCAGTCAGTGTTTAGTGTTTCAAAACAGCAGTGCAGCTACAACTAAACCACAACTGGTTGTTCAGTAAGGGATCATGTATCCCAGCTCCAGAATAATGAAACACTGTTAAGTCCACTCATCTCAACACTAGGTTAAACCACAATAGTAAGCAGAATCAAAAGTATGTCTAGCTATGTTTCGCTGCCCATCAGATGAGTCCGTTCTTCATTATTACCAGGAGGATTTTGCAGGCTGGAACTGGAACTGTTTGCACAAGGAAAGGAACAGGAGGGAAGGAACAGGTTTAATATTCTCTAGATACTTCTATGCAAAACCAGCAGAATAGCAAAAAAGCCACACGTTACTGGGAAAGAGCTAAGTGGATCACTGGATTTGGTTCCCCATTATTGCACAGAACCACATACTGTTGCTTTAACACCTATCATTTCACAGAATCACCGAATGGTTTGGGTTGGAAGGGACCTTTACGGGTCATCTAGTCCAACCCTCCTGCAATAAGCAGGGACATCTTCAACTAGATCAGGGTGCTCAGAGCCCTGTCCAACCTGACCTTGAATGTTTCCAGGGATGGGGCATCTACCACCTCTCTGGGCACCCTGTTCTAGTGTTTCATCACCCTCTTCGTACAAAATTTCTTCCTTGTATCTACTTTGGATCTACCTTCTTCTAGTTTAAAACCATTATCCCTGGTCCTATTGCTACAGGCCCTATTAAAAAGTCTGTCCCCATCTTTCTTATAAGCCCCCTTTAAGTATTAGAAGGCTGCAGTAAGGTCTCCGCAGAGCCTCCTCTTCTCCAGGCTGAACAACCCCAACTCTCTCAGCCTGTCTTCATAGGAGAGGTGTTCCATCCCTCTGATCATTTTCATGGCGCTCCTCTGGACCTGCTCCAACAGGTCCATGTCTTTCCTGTGCTGAGGGCTCCAGAGGTGAACGCAGTATTCCAGGTGGTGTCTCATCAGAGTGGAGTAGAGGGGCAGAATCACCTCCCTTGACCTTCTGGTCACACGTCTGATGCAGCCCAGGATATGGTTGGCCTTCTGGGCTGTGAGCACACATTGTCAGCTCATGCCCAGCTTTTCACCCACCAGTACTCCCAAGTCTTTCTTGGCAGAGCTGCTCTCAATCCCTTCATCCCCCAGCATGTATTGATACCAGGGGTTGTCCTGACCCAGGTGCAGGACCTTGCACTTGGCCTTGTTGAACCTCATGACGTTCACACAGGCCCACTTCTCAGACTTGTTCAGGTCCCTCTGGATGGCATCCCATCCCTCAGGTGTGTCACCCACACCACTCAGCTTGCTGTCACCTTCAAATTTGCTGAGGGTGCACTTGTTCGCACTATGTCATTGATGAAGATACTAAACAGTACTGGTCCCAATATGGACCCCTGAGGGACACTACTCATCACTGATCTCCATCCAGACATTGAGCCATTGACTACTACGCTCTGGATGCGACCATCCAGCTAATTCCAGTTTATAGACACCCTCCTGAAGGAACCATCAGTAGGGTTTGCTCATTAATGCCACAGTCCCGGTTTAGGTCTCTGTTCAGGTCAGTAGGGATTTAAGAAAGCACACAAAGTATTTAAGCAGTATTTTTCCTGCTTATTTTGTCATTCAATATCATGCTGGTTGTGAGGAAAAAAATGGAAGCATGACTTCCAGAGGTTTGTTTTATATGGCTGCAAGTAAAATAAAGAATAAATATCTCAGCATACCTTCTCCTTGTTGCCTCAGTGATATAGAATATTCCAGCTGCAAGACCCTTTGAAAAAAACAGTCCGTTACAATTGTAGTAATAATAATAATGTTATGCAGTAATTCATAATTGCAATAGATATAAAAAGAAAAAAAAAAGTGTAATTACTTACACTGAACAGTGCCCATCCTCCTTGGATAGCTGAGGCCCATTCAAAACCCAACTTGTCATTTAGAAATCCTCCTAAAGTGGGACCTGCAAACGCCCTGCAACAAATCAAAATGATGTATTGGCATCCCAAACAAAAAAGATAATATATCATATCCTCAGAGAACTTTTTTATTATGTTTTGTGGTCTCCCTCCATTGATTCTCTCTCCTTTGTCAACATAGAGATTGTCTTCCACAGAGATAACTTTCCTATAATCCACAGTAAGTATTAATTCTTTGTTTGCCATGGCCCCGATAAACCTGTCTAGTTACCTCCTCAGCTGGAAATAGGATCCATAGCAGAAAGCTGAATGCGCTCTTTCTGTATCTGGGATGGCTTAGAGGCCCCATTAAGGACCACGTTCTAACAGGGCATCTACACCAATCAATTCTATCATAAAAGAAATTTAAACTCTCATTCCTTCCAAACTTCAAGACAAAAGACTGATGGATATAAGCAGGTGGGGAGGCACATTGTGACAGACAAAGTCACTGCCAGGTTGAGCTGTATGTAACTGCCCTGCACCTTCATGCCTGTCTAAGAATGCGACGAAAGGTTACACAGCTGCTGTCATGTTATGAAAGATCTTACGTGATATGGCCTCTTGCTACAGAAAGGGACAAAACTGTAAAACTAGAGAGACTTCCTGGAAGCAAGTCACACAATAAAACCATATTTGATAACAGCATAAAACTGTGATTTGGTTAACTTTATACTACCTATACCTGTACTGAATCCTATGCCAAATAAACAGGACAGCTAGAACTTCAGTTGGCGTGGAAAAAAATGGTGCAAATTTGTACCACTGAAACCCACCTGCAGCCTGCAGAGGACTACAAGGACAGATGAAAAAAAATCCTGGAAGTAGCTGTCAATAGGGGGACTCTGTCACTTCCCACCAAGTGACAACTCTTCAGAGTCACTCAGCCAGTGGTGCCTTTCACTCGTTTCTGTGATGACCACTGGGTAATAAACACAGAGACACTCTGCTAAGCTACGGAAACACAGACCTTAAATAATGGCTGTGGCTGAGAGAGAAAAGACTATTCTACCCTAAGCTATCCCAGACAAAAGGAGGAAATGTGGAAAATGAAAAAGGGAGAACAGAACTATTCAGGAGCAGATACCTGCTAGCTCACTCCATGTGGGCGAACTTAGCTTTGTAAAAAATTAGGGTCAACCTCTCTCTATATTAAGCATTAAATATTTCAGTGACAACAAAAATGACCACACAGAAGTGCAAGCTGACATCCACTCAAACGCTGCAGCTTTTTGATATGCAGGGCAATACATTTCAAGGAAGACAAGTTCAAAGTCCATTCTCTTTGCTGGGTAAAAAGCTTCGTTTTAACATGTCCACCAGGCAAGAACCTTTTGAATCAAGGTCAACATAATGACTGCAATGCAAGGCTTCTGGTTGTAATGCAGCAGGCTTTTGTGTGGCAATAGTGTAGAGCAACTAAACACTCATAGCTTACAAAAAGGTGACTGTACACCTACCCAAGGGACCACATGGCATTGAAGAGCCCAGACACCAGTCCCAGCAGACTCAGACCTTCTTCAAATCCATTCTCACTGCAGAAAGACAGACCAGTTACAGTAGTACAATGCATCATTGTGTCTCAGTCTATATAGCCTTCGCCTGTGGAGTTTTTTCCCTCCTTTTAATTTACACACAGCATAAATAGTTCACAAACGAAATCATACAGTGGAATTATATCTGTTTACCCAGTACTTTCTTCTTTGCTGCCCCTCTGGAGGATTGCAGTGCTACTCCTCATCTCTCATGTCTTCTGAGCGAGATTCCTAACATCACACCATTGCTTATTGGTGTGATGTTGGCATGTTTCATATGGCAAGTGTAAAACAGTGACAGGTGGCTTTTAAGAATGAAAGACCGTGTTCCAAGAGAAACATACTAGTAAGAGTAAAACAACACCCTTCTAGGTCATTACTGCCAAGCCACATCACAGACCTTGTACTTCGCACGGGTATGACTCCTGTAGATGCAGCTGTTAAAGTCAATGCAGTCTGAAAATCCAATGAAAACTGCTTGCTATTAATCATCCCCAGAAGCTGAAATAAATCCTATTTATATGAAACCACGCACATGGTATGACACCCAAAGTCTGATGGACTTCAGTGTGTTCATAGTACGGAAGTACACATTTACAAAATTATATTTGGAGTATAATGACAGGGGTGCTCAGTTAGAAGAAACTAAGAAAAAAAGTAGTGGAAGCATTTAAATGTTATGTGCTGCCTTTGTCTCAAAAAGAGGGGGAAAAGACACACCAAAACCCCACTTCATATTCACCCCTGAAAATTAGTTACAGTTTCCTACTGCCAGTAATATGAAAGATACATTGGATGGAGTTACTTACTATGCACACTGCAGCATCTCTGGAAACACTGGGATAGCACTCATGCCAAGGGAAAAGCCAATCAAAACCAGCATTAGCACAAACATCCACAGCTGACTGAAAAAGAGGCATTTGAAAGAAGTTAGCTGATGAAGAAACCGTTTGACTGAAGGTTGTTATATCATCTTTCCATGACTGACCAGAAAACTAGGTTTCTTGAAGTCAAAAAGAACTCTACTTTAATTGAACACTCAGCCTTGAAAAAAATATTTATGCTTTAAAAACTTTGTGAAATAATTTGAAAATCCAGTGCTCAAATTAAGTATTTCCTTATCAAGTTAATTTTAAAGAGGAGCACATAGAGAAGAGGTAGGTTCGTTGCACAAGTGAAAGATTTTGCAGCTAAAATTTTGTAGCCCAATACATTATAACCAAGTAGACTTAGCTAAAGAAAAGAATGTTGGAGATTTTACTGATTTCTTTCTCTCGCTCATCAAACGTATGATCTCACGAGTTTCAAATGTATGATATTTAAAAATTAGAAGTCTAGGAGGAAGGACTTGACTAATTCTGCATATTAACAAGCCTATCATCATCTTTAACAGAGTATATAACCTAGGACAAAAGGACTGTACAGCTGTTTTTAAACGCAGCAGATTGGAGTTAATTCACAGCAAAACAGAGATATGGCAATGCAATGTTCAAGTGCAACAGACATTGCCTTTACTTAGCTAGCTGAAAACAAAGCTATAATCTGTCATTTCCCTCAGTAAGCTACATACAGAAAGAAGAAAAATCAATACTGCTGTGCAGCCATGCAAATAAAACCCACAGTTAAGAAACACTGATGAAATCGAGAAAATAAAAAAAATAAGACAGAAAGAGAACTTTTGTTTTGCTGCACTGCAAATGCCACAAAATTGGGAGGAAAGGAAAATAAAAAGCAGAATTCTTCCCATCACACACGTGAACATGAGGAAACACAGTAACAGTAAAAAGCAAAGGAAAAGCATCTATTACAAAGCTGTAAAATATGCATTTTCAGATGCTCCCGCTGTTTTACAGTCATAGTCTCATGTTAGAAGTTAAAAAAACAAACTGTTTCATGGTCAGAGGTGCTAATTATGGACATACATGACTATGGTCACGATAGCTATAGCAAAAACATCACATAAGGAGAGAGGTTCAAGAAGGGGCAGTTCTATACCTTTCAATGTGCAGTATAGGAGCAGGTCCTAACATGAAAAAGCACAGTGCTGTAATTAAGCCTCCAGATACCAGCAGCCACTTCCTGAGGTACTGTGAAAGAAAAGGAAGAGGTATATAATTTAAAGATGTGAATTTGTAATGTAACTATTTTGTCTTTCCTAATACCTCTCTTCTAAATCTTCACCTCCTGAAACATCCTGCTCTTGTAGAGATCATCATCATCACGCAAGCTGGGAATTCACAACTTCTCTGCCAGTTCTGAACACCATCAAGAAACACTGAATTCATGTTTCCTCACCACCAATGCAATCACTGGCAGCAGCTGCTTAATACAGAGATTTCTTCAGGATACTGAGAAATGGTGCTTCTCTGTTAGCAAAGTATTTTAGGTCTTACTCTTCCTTAGTATAAGAAATATCACGTAGCGTTGCATGTAATTCTTGTGTACAAAGGCCATTATTAGTTTGTGGTGGGAAAAAAAACAGTGTCTGAAAACTGGCACTGCCATTCATGCACAGCATTCAAAGTGTACATTTTCCTGATCAATTAGCAGTGGCTGTCAACCAGGCAGTTTTAGGTATATCACTGTCACAGTCTTTTTCTATGGTGCAGTTAAGAGCTAGAGAACCATAGCCAGTGCTGATCTAATTTGGATATTACACTTTTTAAGAGACAAAGTCAATACAGCTAACCTGGAAATCTTTACTCCTCTTCTCAAGAGCTGATAAAATTAGATGCAGACAAAAGCATGAATAACTGGGACACGTTCTCCTACTCTCCATTCCATATTGGCTGCAACTAGATTGTGCTTAATCCACTGGAACAGCTCAACACATTTCAACTAGAGGATACTTGTCTGACATCCTTTGCTATTTTGGACATTACCTGGACCTTGCAAAAGAGACCTTCAACTTGGCAGTATTCAGCGCACATTCAAGGTCCTGAAAGACAGATCCCTTTACAGGACCAGGCCTACATCCATTGTTTCAATATGAGAAGTCCTCCAGTTTTAACTAAATGCACAGAGTGCTTTACTAACCCCGCACAAACAGCAGAGTGGTACTCACTGGCAGTTTGTCGCTCAGGAGTCCAAGGAGGGGAGAAGACAGGGAGTACGAGAGTGCCAAACCGAGGAATACCAAGCCCACATAACCAGCTGGGAGTTTGAACTATGGGAAGGAAGACAAATAGAACAAAAATCAAAACAACAAACCATATATGCTACATTCATTACATGACAATCCAAGAATTACATCTTGGATCAAAATACTGAAATGTGTGATTATAAGTATTTTACTGATACCATACAGAGGTTTTTCAAGTATTTGAAGTCATCAGCAGAGCTTGCTCCAGTTTTCTTCACTTATATTTCTAGGCATGGAGTGACAACACCTGACACAACTGGGCTCAGACAAAGTCTAAATAATTTCAGGAGGAAACATGATGCTATATCCCTACGCCAGCACACTGGATTCTAAAATTAATATCTGGCATATCTGAGACAGACACTTCAGACACTGAAATTTAGGTAGATTTAGTCTTTACCTCTCCAATCCAGTTCTATTTCCACTTAGAAAAGCATAAATACTGGAGTCATCCACTGCTAATCCATGCATCTTAAAAGTAAATAGTGCTACAAAACACAGCTTTGGCTTTTCAACCAAAGAACGACTTTTATGAGACCGAGTAAGAGGTTTTTTGCAAACACCCCGAGGTCTACATTTTCCTAATGCAGAGTCACGTTTCTTGTATTGAAACAAAATGTGTAATGAACCAAAAGTGTACTAGTCTCTCAAACGAATGCTTTAATTACCAGTTAGAAGGAATTCCAAGATGCTTCACGCGGCATGAACTACATAAATATTCACTATTTCCTTGCCAAATGCAAGCATATGATAATAACACTAATTTAGTGGTTAGAACACCTGCCAAGAAGGCTACAGCCCTTTCACAGCAAGTATCTGCTACCACAGAGCATAGGGAAAGCAGAAGAGCCACAGCAGTGTGCAATATTCTACAGTGGAATAATTACAGATCCCTCCTGGGTGGTGAAAGACATACATCCACATCTCCACTGACGGAAGAGATTAGCATCAAGTCTCCTCTACTCTGGATGAGTGCTCCTAAGTAGTGAACTACAGATAAGCACAACAACCTGTGAAATACTATTCCCTGGAAAGACAATTAATTAATAAATCAAAGAGCACGGCTAAATTTCACACAGGAACAGAATCTTAAACTGCTTACTTCAAATTCATTACCTTAAAAACCATGGGGAAAATAAATAAATAAAATTACATAGGAAACAAAAAAATATTAAAGTAAATTTAAAATAATCAAATAAATAAAACAGCATTTGCCTTTTTAGTGAGCGAAAGAAAAAGTCAGCTGGCAGACTACGTGGTTGCAATCAGTTTAATTTTGGCATTGCTGTAAGATGAGGCAGAGCTGTGACACCATGTCCCCCAAAAAAATGTCCATATCAGGAGATACAACACTGTCAGTGACTGTTGCAGTTTTACAGAATTTGCTTCCAGAAAGGAGGAAAGAGTCCCTCGTTTACAAAACCACCTGTTCAGAGAAGGTACTCTGCAGTTGAAAGCCAATTAAGTAGAAAAAGCATAATTTTAAAGGCCTTACATTTCCTCATTCTCAAAGTTACCAAGACTTAGTGGCAACAGAAGGTGTCAATGGAAACTGTGATTTGTCAGTACTGTGGAAATCAAGTTATTTGGCAATCATATTATTAACAGTTAATTAAAGCAGTGTAGTTGGATAAGGCGTAATTTTGTTTAAGATATTTAAACTATATTTATAACCAGTTATTTACTATAAAGTCAAGACTTCCCTGGATGTTAACAGGACTTACCTTACTTAAGATAAATAGAGACATTGTGGGATCCAAAAAGCCCAAGCATGCACTTAGAGAAAATATAGTAAGACAGAGTAGTAACACTTTTGGCAGACGAATGAGCTTCCAAAAGGAGTCCTTGCTAGGGATCGAATCTGTTTCAAGACAAAAGGGGGGGAAATTGCATTATTTTCAGCAGCATAAGCTCATGATTGATCCTCTTGCTTTAGAAAAGAAATCACTACTTCCCTTTTTCTAGTCCTATTACTCTTGTTACCTAACAAATGAAAGCCCGTAGATTATTGTGCACTACACTATTTTTATGTTAAAAAACCCAAATTTAATAGGTGAATAAAAGAAGAAAAGTACATTAAAAATTGATAGGTGAATGAAAGAAGGACATAATTTAGATTCCAACATTGCAAATCCCCAACTCGTAAAAAACAAAACCCCGTGCTAACCCCAGTTATGTGAAAATACAGTTACTTCACCACTAGCCCTTATAAAATGAAAATCTCACGTATACATCTCAACTTAAAACAACATGCACACATGCATGAAACATTCATATCTTATCAGAGCAATATGCTTTGAAAGTAAAATAAGATGATTGCTATTTATCAGTTGAGATCATAGAATCATAGAATTGTCTAGATCTGTCCCAATTTTTAAGCAACTAGTCATTCTGGTCTCCTACATGTTCAAATTGTACTCGATACAGGAAGCTTCTTCAAATGTCACGGTTAGGTGTCTATTCTAAGACATACTCCCTTCCTGATGCTGCTCTAATAGCTGAATGGGATCTCAAAGTATACACAGAACTATCATTAGCATCCACCAGCTTAGAGCTAGCGTTTATTTAACATAGTCTCAAACTGTTCAGTAATATCATGACTCCATACAATTTCAGAGGTTGGGGAGCTGGGGGCGAAGCCAGCAGTAGCACCACAGGGTGCACCACTCTAAGTTTCTTCTAAAAGCCAATATATATAAAGTTATTGTCTACGGTTTTCATATTAAATAGGAAAAAAAAAAAAGAAAAAATAAACCCCACAGTAGTTTGAAGTTACTGTTCTTTCCAGAAAAATCTAACAGAACTGCAACCTTGCAATTACAATCTTGTGTAAGACTTATCTTTAAGTTAACCTTCTGTCCAAGCAGGACCACTTAAAATTTAATAAAATTCATATGACCTCCAGCATGAATTCATCAGATCATTCAGTACAAATAAACCCTTACTGTTCTCCCTGTAATTCCGTTTTTCCCCTCTGTTAACCCCTCAAACATGTCAAGCACTCTTGTTTTAGGCAAAAGCTATCTCCAGCTTTTCTTCAATTAGCTGCAATGACAAGCTGATACAAAGACACAACGGATCCTTTACAAGCCCTGAAGCTAGAGACAAAAGAAAACAAAAATTTATCTCAGTTCACTTCCACACAGAGTTCTTAGTGTTTGCAGAGATGGGCATGAGGTGTTGGATTCATTCCAGGCCATCTGCACACATTAATTTTAATTCACATTAAAACATGGGCCTGATCAACA